GTGTCTAAGTAATTGTAGGTTTTACTATAATACACAATTTGAAGCCGGCTACGTCGCTGGGGTCAAAGCCGCGAATCCAGACGCCGAGATTATCAAAGGTTATGTTGCTGATGACGAGCGAGGGTTCTACCAACCCGAGGTCGGAGAAACAATCGCTTTAACCCAGTATGGACTCGGTGTTGATGTAATCTATTCTATGGCAGATCAGGCGGGGTTCGGCGCGATTGAAGCCGCGAAACTCGCAGAAGGCAGATATGTGATATGGAACTACATTGATATTACCAGTGTCGCACCTGGGGTTGTTCTATCAGGGCTGCGCATCGGCATCGACGACTCCGTATATAATACCATTTCTAAAAGTTTATATCGCATTAACTGCACCGTCCACCCAGACCCGGTAGGTGCGGTTTCCTAACCGCACCGGGCATAACCCAAAACAGTAGACCCTTTTAAGAGAAATCGTCAATCAGAATTGGTATAACGTTATCCAAGAGTACGCCGCTGGCAATTTAATGACGGGTATTCGCTCTCTCGGTCTCGCTGAGGACAGTGTCGGTTATATGCTTGGTGAGGGCAACAGAGATCTGCTTTCTGAGGAACTCCTCGAAAAGGTTGACGCATTGAAAGCAGGCATCATCGCTGGTGAGATTACTGTACCGGTGGTACCGTGATTTGATGTGCAGTAGCCTTGGACTTTTAGTTCTTAAAGGGTTAGCAACGGGCGGATCTATTCCGCCCTTTCAAAAGAAGGAAGAAGGAAAAATGAAGAACACTTCCATATTGAAAACCCTCCTCGTTTTAGGAACAGGGTTATTTTTAATATCTATCAGTGGATGTGATAGAGTACAGGATGCGATACTTACTGAGCAAATGGGCACGCCGGAACCGATGCAGTCTCGCATTAGCATGGTGTATCCGTTCGCATGCCTTGGAGACCAGTCATACTGCGATCTGTTGTCTGATGGGATAAAAAGAGCGGAAGCGGCACTCGGTATTGATATTGATGAGATAGAGAGCAGTCCAGAGACATGGGACACGGATTTACGCGAAGCCGCCGAAAAGTCTGACCTAATTCTCACCGCGGGTTACCAAATGGATGAACCGATTCAGCGCGTCGCACCGGCGTTTCCTGATGTCAGTTTTGCTATTATCGATAGTGCGGTTAATTTGCCGAATGTCGCTTCGTTTATCTATAATGTGAACGAAGGTTCGTTCCTCGTTGGGGCTATCGCTGCACTAAAAACGGAAACGGGTAAGGTTGGTTATGTTGGTGGGGCAGATGTGCCATTGTTACACGGATTTGAAGCCGGATACATGGCGGGGGTTCATGCCGTTAACCCCGACGCGCAGGTTTTTAGGGAATACATCGCTGAAGGTCCAGAAGGATTCGATCAACCGATGGTAGCTGAAAACATTGCACGCGCCAGTATAAGAGTGGTGTGATGTTATTTACGCTGTCGCTGCGGGTTCCGGACACGGTGTGGTTGAAGCCGCGAAGGCACTTCAGAAGTATGTCATTTGGGTTGACACGAACATCAACGCCACCGCTCCCGATATTTTCCTAACGAGTATGCTCAGGCAGATTAACAATGCCGTCTACAATATTGTCACCCAATTCGCAGAAGACAATTTTACACCCGGTGTTCACCGTTTAGGACTCAAAGCGGATGATATTGTCTATGCACTTGATGCGCACAACAGTCCCCATTTCTCGGATGAGATCCTGATGGCAGTTGAGACGTTGAAGGCGCGAATCATTTCAGGAGAGGTCGTTGTCCCAACGGAGCCTGTACTTCCGCGCTAACGACTTTATTTGCTGGCGAGGATTTCAACCTCTCCTATTTCCCATGTTTGCTGGCGAGGTTTCCTGGGGAAACACCCAAGCAAAAACACCTCGCCATTTTAAGTCACGGCTTGTATCGGTATTGACAGGCGGTTCTTCGTTGTTAATAAACCGTTCAATCGTGTTAATTGTTGCTGGACTCGTACGGAAGTCGGCAACCCACGGTTCACGGAAGTATGCCTGCTTTTCACGCGGTAAGGCGGAGAGTACTTCGGGCGGAGTCTTCAACCGATGCCAGTGGGTCGCGAGATGGGCGTAAGCGTTTAGAACTGCCACACGCGGTGTCTCCCGTTGCCAAACAGGACCCGCATGACACAGATTTTCTGTAAAGAAGATGGCACTGCCTGCCGGGCATTCGTAGTTCATCAAGAACGGACTTCGCTTCCCTTCTTCCAACGACATGTGATCCGAATGCATCGGGAAATTAGCTTTGTGACTGCCCGCTATAAAGTGCGTTGCGCCATCCTTTTTGGAAATATCTGTGAGTTCAAAGACGACGCGCACCATTCCTGCATGAATCCGTCCGTTGTTGAAACGATACCCGAAAAATTGGATCGCCTTGTTGCGGTCCGCCACCGTGAAGCCCCCCGTGTTCCTGCCCTTTTTCACGCCAGACAGAGGAGCAGTTTTCCAATCGAACATCGGGTCCGATGATTTCGTGCAGGACATCGAGCACCTTGGGATGGTCGATTAAGACACTCGACGGACCGCCCGGTACGGCGCGGTGTTCTGGTGGTAAAGACTCTGGTTCGTGGTGTATCCGTTCAATCTGCTCAACAATGGCTTCCGCTTCGTCGCGTTCAAGGATCGCAGGACGGACGAGGAATCCACTCAAGTCGAATCGAAATTTTTCTTCGTCAGTCATAGGTTTGGCATCTCCTTTAGTTTTACGGTGTTGGTTTTCTCATTTTTCTCTATGAAATGCCTGAATGGCATCAACCAGTTTATTGGCACCGAACCGAACGACATCCGTTGCAGGTAACCCTGTCTCTGTCTCCGCTGCGATGATTGCCGCACGCGCCGCTGTCTCGGACAGGTCGAAACAATTCAACGCCAATCCGATCACTTTGGCAGGCTTTATTGGTGCCGCCAACGCTTCATACTGTGCTATCATCTCAGGTAACGATGGCAACGGCACCGTATACCGGGCAACCGTATCCCGCGAGGGTTGATGGCAGAATATCATCGCATCTGGCAGACTGCCGTGGAGTAAACTTAGCGTTACGCCGGAATACCCCGGATGTACGAGCGAACCCTGTCCTTCAACGATAAGGAGCGAGTGATCTTTCGCACCTTCAAGCACAATCTGCTCCGCTGCACCGGCGGTGAAATCAGAGACAACGGCATCGATCGCAATACCCCAACCCCATACCATAATCCCGTTTTGCCCCGTTGGACAGAATTCAGCATCCAAACCGCGCTCACGTGCCGAACGCGTGATCTCTATGCCAGATAGCATTTTACCGACGCGACAATCTGAACCTACAGTCAGAATAACTGTAGCATCAACATCATCGGCTTTGCACGTCGCGACGGGTAGATTCGCAGGCGGTTTCCGGGCATCCCATAACAGGACATCGTGTGCCGCTGCGAGTTCTGCGAGTTCTGCATCCTCACTCAGAAATTGGTGCAAGCCACTCATAACGTGTAAACGGTTGTGTATCGCTTCGTGGAGGATTGCGCGCCAAGCATGCGGCAACTCGCCGCCGGGAGGCGCAATGCCGATAGCGAGCATTGTCGGCTCGAATTGCATCGCTTCGGCGAGGTTCCGACAATAGGAATACCTTCCCCAATCTCGATAATTTCGCTGGTGTCTCGTCCCGCGTTCGCACTGTCGATAACTGCGACGACGTTCTCAGGGAGATAGCGAACTAAAACCGTAGCGGTTTTCGATTCAAGGATGCCGAATGAACCCTCAGCAAGAATGGCGATTCTGTGTGATTTCGGTTGTAATTGCTTTACCATTTTTTTATCCGCCGTTCCGAGCAGGATAGGATGCATTGTAGATTAGCACAAATCGAAATCAATTGCAAGAGGTGGGTAGATTGATTTAGGGCTATTTAGTTTTCATGCTTCAACTCCGCTGGTTGTAGTAGGTAATGTATGGCCCGTTGGGGACGCAGTTTTAGACGTGCGATGAATCGCACTACTACAAACGCTTCGTAGTAGGGAAGCCGTTTATTGTCCATTGACCCTAACACTTCAATGGATTGGTGCAGCGGAGGGGTCCCTAACAGTGGCACTATAGATTGACGCAACAGATACCTACCGCCGAGGGCGAAGCCATCTAACCCAGGGGCACCGCGGTCCTCGTTCTCGACACAGAGGACATAGTCGTAGCCGGATTCCTGCAGCGCACCGGTGATCGTGCCCCAATTCAATTGCCCCCGTCCGGGTACACGATACTGCCACCACCAGTTCCCAATGATACCTTGCCGAAACTTCATGTGCGGACTGATTTCGCAATCCTTCACATCGGCGTAATACCACTTGCCGTTGAACATACGGATTGCATCTTCAGCGGGTAAAATGCCCATCCAGAGCCAGTGCGACGGGTCACAAGACAACCCCAGCGAATCTGACGGAATCGCATCGAGGATACGTTCCCACATTTCCGGATTACAGGCGATGTTGCCCATGCGTACGGCGCAATCAAGCGCAAGCTGCACGCCTTTCTCTTCAGCGAAGCGGACGACAGGAGTCCACATCTCTTTAAATCGCCCGACGAGTTCAACTGACCTGTCGCCGGGATTGCCCGGTTCTGAAGAGAACTGCCCATAAAAATGCCAACTCACGGGACTGCCAGCATAGGTCACCACCACAGGGGCACCAAGGATGTGTGTCGCTTCGATTGCTTGCATCAATGCGTCGCGAGCGTTTTCCCGTGTTTCCCGGTCATCATCAAGCAGGTTACTATGCGCTGTTATGGCAGCGAGATAGATGCCGTGAGCATCCAGAATTTCCTTGACCGCTTCACCGCCAGATTGTATAATGACACTCGGTTCGACAACGCCAGTGGCGTTCGGACGGATTGCATCAAATCCGTTGGCTTTTGCCCACGCTGCGCATTCAGCGAGGCTCCAACCACCGTTCCCCGCGCTCGTGCTGAAACTTAAATCCATAGTTTTTTCCTTTTTTGTTAGAGGACTTTCTACGTATGCAGATTCTATGTGAACAGAATATTACCGAAAAACTATTTACGCTCTATAATCAACTTCTCGCGCAACACGGAAACCGGAAGTGGTGGCCCGCAGACACACCGTTTGAAGTGGCACTCGGTGCGATCCTAACGCAAGCGACTTCGTGGCGCAACGTCGAAAAAGCGATGGACAATCTCAAAAATGCTGATGCTTTTACCGCTGAGGAGATAGCTTCTATCAGTCAACCCACGTTGGAACGGCTCATCCGACCGTCGCGCTACTTCCGTATGAAGGCGCAAAAGGTACGTGCATTTGTGGAACATATCGCAGAACGTCCGATGCACGTTATGTTTACGCAGGATGTCCCCGAATTGCGTGAAGAACTGCTCTCCATCTACGGGGTCGGTCCTGAGACAGCGGATACGATTATCCTCTATGCTGCTGGCAAACCGAGTTTTGTTGTTGATTCATATACCTATAGACTCTTCTCACGGCTCGGATGGGTTACAGGAAATTACAACTATGACAAACTCCGTGCCCTGTTTATGGACAATCTTCCCCACGATGTTGATCTTTTCAATGAGTATCATGCGTTAATCGTTGGACACGGTGCGAGAGTATGTCATAAGAAAACGCCGAACTGTCAAGAGTGCCGTTTGCGGGGGTCTTGTGCCTATTACAAAGCGTCTGAGTGACAGGAAGTGATGTGGCTGCGAATCGGCGTGCTGCTAAAGTTTTTCAAAAAAATCTGTCTCTGTCAGAATCGGAATCTCTAATTCTTCTGCTTTGGTGTATTTGCTGCCGGCACCTTCCCCCGCGATGACGTAATCCGTCTTGCTCGTTACGCTTGATGTAACCCTGCCACCCCGATTCTTAATCTCGTTCGACGCTTCGCCACGCGTCATACCCTCAAGACTCCCTGTGACAACGAACGTTTTTCCGCTAAAGAAGTTATCTGCCGCGAGGCTCGCTTTCCTAAGGTTAGATTCTGCCGCTACCGTGAAACAGTGCAAACCTGCCGCCCGTAGTTTGTCAAGCAACGGCTGATTGTGTGAGAAGAAGTTGAAAACGCTCTCTGCTATCTGCGGACCGATGCCTCTTACTGACTCAATCTCCTCCAATGTTGCTGTGCCGAGTGCGTCTAAGGATAGGAACCGTTCAATCAGCAGCTCCGCGACATTCTCACCGACATGAAAAATACCGAGTCCAAAAAGCAGTTTTTCTGCCGGTACTTCCTTGCTTTTTTCAATTTGGTGGACAAGATTGCGGGCGGACGGGACACCCATCCGATCCAATGTACTTAATTTCTCCACCTCCAAAGTGTAAAGATCGGCAACATCGCGAACCAGTTCTTTATCCACCAGTTGGTCGATTGTAGCGGGACCGAGACCTTCGATTTGGAGTGCGTCGCGCGAGGCGATAATGCGCAATTCGGCGTTTCAGTTGTGCGACACACGCCACATTCACACACCGGACCGCAACTTCTTTCTCTGTGCGCTGGACGGGGGTATCGCACGCTGGACACCGCTCCGGAAATATGAAGGGAACTTCATCGCCAGTTCGGTTGGCTGTTAGCACCTCAACAACTTTAGGGATAACGTCCCCGGCGCGCTCAAGCACAATCCGATCGCCGATACGGATGTCTTTCGTTTGGATTTCTTGCTCGTTGTGCAAAGTGGCGTTCGTGATTGTCGCTCCGGCGAGCGTTACAGGTTTTAAAATCGCAACCGGTGTCAGGGCACCCGTGCGTCCAACCTGTACGTCTATTTTTTCAACGGTTGTGATGGTTTGCTGCGCGTTGAACTTGTAGGCAACTGCCCAACGCGGGTATTTAGAGGTTGTACTCAGTTCGTGCTGTTGGGAAAAATTGTTAACCTTTACGACGATCCCATCGGTATCGTACGGGAGTTCATGGCGTTTCTTCTACCCAGCGTTCGTAGTAGCTTTGGACCGCTTCAATCGACTTATGGGAGGTGGTGTGTGGATTACACTTGAGTCCCCAAGCCTTCATGGTTTCGAGGGACTCTGTATGCGTTGTGAATTCAGATCCCTCGGCGTAGTTGAGGGTATATACGAAAATATCCAACGGACGGGATGCCGTTATGGAAGCGTCTAACAGTCGTAGTGAGCCAGCGGCGGCGTTCCGAGGGTTCGCAAACGGCAATTCGCCTTCTGCTTCCCGTTGGATGTTAATGTCGTTGAGGCAATCTTTCGGAAGGAAAACTTCACCGCGGACTTCTAATACCGGTGGCACGGCTATTTCCGTTTCAACAAGCCGCAATGGCGCAGAACGGATGGTACGTAAGTTGTCGGTTACATCTTCGCCGTACTCGCTGTCGCCGCGCGTGAGACCTTGCGTAAATATACCGTTCTCATAGATTAACGAAACCCCTAACCCATCGATCTTTAATTCTGTAACGTATTCGACAGGTGCCTCTTCTAACAACCGTTGGACGCGTTCAGCGAATTCCCGCAGCTCATTTTCGTCGTAACAGTTATTCAGGCTCAGCATAGAGTTACGGTGCTGTATGCGGGTACCTAATACAGCACCGCCACCAACTCGTTGCGTCGGCGAATCTGGCGGGATAGGTGCTTCAGTCGCTGCTTCGAGTTCCGCAAGCTCCTTCATGAGTGCATCGAAATCCACATCAGAAATTTCCGGCAGGTTCTTCGATATAGTATTTATGCTCATGATAACGTATTAACGCTCTCAGTGCGTCGATCTCTGTTCGCATAACACCTTATCCGGTTTTTGAAGGGCTTTTGAAAAATTTTAAACAACCTGGACCGGTCGCACATACATCTATTTGCGTCACTGTGTGTGTGCTGATAAATCGCCTGCGATCGTTAATCGTCTCTGACGTGTAAAGGTGCGTGGACGCGTAAACCCTTCGCCTGTCGGTCCCGCTATGGTCATCGCGAGGTAGCCTTCGCCTTCTAATCCGCAGGACGCGTAAGAGGGCGCGTTAATGACCGTAACACTACAATCCATTGCCTTTGCGAACTGCGTGATGCGTTTGGTGTTATTTGTGTGGAGCACTGCGGTGTGCCCACGTCCGCCTTCTGCTCTGACTGCGCCTGCCAACGCCTCGTCGAAATCGCGACAACGGACGACCGGCAGAATCGGCATCAGGTATTCGTTAATGACGAACCCATGATCCGCTGGAACTTCAACAACGATCGCCACTGTCTCTGCAGGAGCTGTGATACCGGCGGCTTTTAAAATGGTCAGCGCATCTTTACCGATGTATTCCTTGTTGGATTCCTCTTTTTCCGTGACAACCGCTTCTAATGCCTGAAGCTGGCTCGCACCGAGTAGATGCCCCCCATTCTGTGTGAGTTCCTGAACCGTTTCGTTTGCTACGGAATCGATAACGAAAAGTGCTTTTCGCCGATACAGAGCAGATTATTGTCAAAACTCGTGCCTGCAATGACATGTTTCGCTGCTTGCTGAACATCCGCGGTTTCATCAATAATCGCAGGCGGATTGCCGGGTCCAGCAGCGATTGTCTTTTTACCGCTTGAGAGTGCAGTCCGGACGACGGATGCGCCACCGGTCGCAACGAGCATGGCGATCTCAGGATGCTCATGATCTCTTTTGCCGTTCGTAGACTGGCGTTTTCAACCGAGGTGAGCAGGTTGGCGGGACCCTGCCGTGACGATTGCTTCGTTGATAACGTGCATCGTTTGCTTCGGTACAGTCGCGCGCATTTGGGTGCGGACTGAACACGACAGCATTCCCTGCCGATAACATTATAATCGCGTGATTAATCACCGTTGATGTCGGATTTGTGGTGGGGGTAATCGAGTTAATAACGCCGAAAGGGACATATTCGATGAGGAGCGTTCCTGCATCGCCGGATACCGCCTCTGATAGCAGATCTTCGACCCCCGGTGAGAGTGTTGCGGCTCCCTCATTCTTCATCACCTTGTGTGCCGCATTCCCCATATTTGTGTCTTGTACTGCCAAGTCCGCGAGACGTTTCGCGTTAGCGAGCGACACCACTTTGATCGCTTCGATGATCTCGCGTCTTTTTGCAAACCCAAGTTTGACAAATGCCGCTTGTGCGGTTTCGCGGCTGCGATATAGCCTCTGTCGCTGTCCCAAAAACGCCTGCCTGCGAAGAGGAACTCACCGCCCACGGACGTAGCAGGTTGTTTTGCTGCTGTTCCGTCTTGTTGTAGGGTTCTTAATACTTGGGAGACAATCTCTTCAATCTGTTTTTCGTCAATTTGTGCCATTCAGCTCTCCAATACTTCGTTGCGCGGCGGCCGCGCTACGGAACACGTGCTGAAACTACTAAATGGATCCAGATGATAATATAGACCCTGTGGCAGTTGCAACGTGTTCTCTACTAAAGCGTGTAGGGCTGAGGTACGAAAGCCATCCTCACCCTACAAAGCCGATTTATTTGCTGTTACTCTTGGGCGAAGAATCCTCGCGAGAATGCTCCCACATCTGAATGTGGGCGAGGGATGACGTGCACCGACACTAATTCGCCGACTGCTTTCGCCGCTTCCGCACCAGCATCTGTCGCGGCTTGCACCGCACCGACGTCTCCACGGACCAAAACAGTGACGAAACCGCCACCTCTTTCT